GTCAGAGGTCAGAGTGTGTAATGAATGCTATGCAGAAGAGCATCTCTGAATGCCATGCCAAACACCTCAAACGTGGAAGCAGATGGACAGCAGCAGCAGAAGACCTCACCGGATGTCACTCCTATCAGCTAGGGAAAGGAAACTGAGGCTGCAATTCACCAAAACTGGTCAGGAACATTATGCAGGATGGGTCCATGAGTCCTCCATTAAACACTTCATTTCCTTCATCCTGGTGTTTTCTTCTGCTGCAGGTTGTAGGTTTTTTTTGTTTTGTTTTTTTTGCAGTTTCTGCATATTCGAAACTTGTCACACACATCTCCGGTAATTTCAAGCACTGTACAGCTCATTTAAGTTATAGAGTCTGATTGAAAAACATAGGCCAGGGCAACATTTCCTTAATATTAGCTGGCAAACAATCACCAACATTTCTAATGGGGGTAATCAACCCCTGTGTCCCCACTGAAATCCCCACATATGGCAAAGGCATTTTCTTTTTTCCACATTGCTTAAATTTCTGTGTCACACGTCAGTGAGTAGAAATAACCAAAATACACATTACCTGTTCAGTTATATTTTATCGCTGTACGCTCGGGTTTGGGTAGGTAATAAATCTTGTTCTGCAATTTATAACAGTATTTTGCCTGAAAATTCAATGCATTCGGTCTTAAAAATGGAGATAGATTCACTTAGGTTTCTGATTCTTTTGGAGAGCATTCCAAAAGCAGCAAAATTATTACCAGAGGATTTTCCACTGACATGTTCTGCCATTGTGTGCGGGTGAAGTGACTCGGGCGTAATCAGGCCTGCTGTAGAAGGCGAGATGCAAAAGAACAACTGCGAAAGAGTAGCATCCGGTTTATTTATTTTTTACATTTATTCTCATCACAGCTGTACAGGAATGCATCGTCACAGCAGAAACACAACCTAAACCCAACCAACATGGCACAACAGCCGTCACAACACATCCAGAACTCGACCAGAAGCTCACCTCAATGCCTACAGCCATTATCGTTATTGTTATTATTAATAGTATTCACATAGATCCATCTGTCTCTCAAATATATCATCTTTGTTTTCAAAGAGCATAAAAATACAAGTGGACTCTTCATTGGGGGATGAACACTGGTGGTTGATCCACTGTCTGGCTAACACTGGGGGGGTTTGAGGGGGGGGGCTCTGAGTGGGCCACTAAAAACCAGGGATTCAAGGAGGAGCGGAGCCAACTTATTACAGCTTACGGGGGGACTTACATGGGCTAGTTTTAAATGGGGTAGACAAGCTGACTAATTTTAGAGGTCGTATATAGAAGCTATTCAGACATCACAGACACAAAAGGGCTTGTAAGGAACCCAAAAAACCCCCAATAAATATGTTAAAGTATGGAACAAAAACCAAACAAACCAAAAAACTGAATATATGAAGAACACTACGAAGGCACAGAGAGATGTAGAGTTAACAAACCAGACACAGAGGGAGATTGTAAAAAAACAAAAAGTGGGGGAGACGAGATTCAAGGTGGGCCAATTAGAGGCAGTTTCACTAACCAACACTAGAGGGAGCCATAACAGCTCAAATACCCAGGTATACTATAAACTCTATGTATGTATACTGGATGTACTATATAAAGCATTGAAATATAGGTTTATCTTTTATAAACACTGTTCACTGCAGCAGGACAAAGGGATATACCGCATGAGTGTGCTTGTAAATATTTATATATATATATAATATATGTTCATGGGTGTGGTGTGTGTGTGTGTGTGTGTGTGTGTGTGTGTGTGTGCAGATTAATTTTCAAGCAAACCTCCGCAGCTGGAGTTAACCGCCAACAAAGCTGAA